AGAGACAGAGACAAATCCCAACAGACTAAAGACTGTAATTAAAGCAAAAGGTGGTTCAACAAAATACTGACACAAGGAGGTGATCCTTTCTCCAACTCAGTGATAAATATTGCTTAAATATTTCACTATAGTAAACTCAATATTTTACTAATGCCCAGTTTTGTTTTGGAGGGCCTTTAAATGTTTGTATTACCTTTTTCCTCGTTTGCTGCCTTTAAACTGCTATTGAGGTGAATGCTTACGAATAGCTTTCTCCATATTACGGATCTCTCTTTGGCTTTTATTCCAGCAATGGCACAACTGAAATCCACTTTGCAAATCATACCTGGCCCTTTTTCTATAAATTCTTTTAAGATCACAGCAATGAGAAGTCAGAAGAGTATTTGATCTTAGCGACGTCTATACTTCTGCATTCTGAATACCTCTGGAGTATGATTTGAATGAGATAAAAAGCCTGATGCTCACATTTTCCTAAATGTTAAATACCCCACCCTTTTCAAAAACGCTAGAACTCTAGTATCAGTCATCAAAACAAAACCTTACACACAGAGTTTTCCGAGTAAACACAGGCAACCGTCTCAGCACAGGAAATGGTTTCAGCCCCATTTCAAAGATCTTTCTGAAACGAGCTCAGCTCGTGAAAAAATGTCTGCAATGTTGTGGTTGTGCCCTCACCTTTGAGTCAGAGAAGCTGGAGATATTCATAATTCAACTGTTGGGCCAATGAAGCCCACCATGACAGAGTTCAACCAGGTTGCACATTTATCATTCTAATATCAGCACTATGATAGCTGGAGGATATTGCGTTAACCGCAATATTTTATCGTTCCAAATTCAGCCACGCCTGAAAAGGAAGTGGAAGCATTTTATGGAAAGACTGATCTTTTATTGCAACAATGACATGAATTGACTACAATCACCACCCATGCACATACATATTTTTCCATATTGCAGTAATATTGTGATTATCTTTGTCTTGCTTTATAGATGCAATAATCCTTGGATTATTGTTTGAAAACCGATCCTGAAAATTGTAACACGGATCATATGGCTGTTTGTAAAGTGAACTTAGTATTTTAAGTGAACTGGGTATATTATTCGTATGTGCTGATTTGCTGCTCAAGAAACATTTCTTATTATTATCAATGTTGAAAAAATGTGTGCTGCTTCATATTTTTGTAAAAACTGTGATACATTTTTTTTAGGATTCTTTGTATATCTTCTTTGGATATTTGTATATGTATGCTTTTTTAAAATAAAAAATAGCAGAAAAGTACAAAATCAGTACAGACAATTTCAAAGCCATAACTCAGAAAACAAGAATATAATGTATTTAATTTTTTTTATTTACGTTCCCAACATGTGAAGTACACGATCTGCATATCTGTATATATTCACACATGAATCTCTGTGAGCAATGCAAATGACTTTATTGCTAATCTTTACTCTATCAGAATTGTGGGTTTGTGGTTTCAGCAAGAAAAGATAACCATGATATCATTGCAATATGGAAAAAATGCTGTGTGGGTGGATGTGTGTGGTCAATGCGTGTCAGTGTTATCTAAGACAATGAGTACATTTGAGTACACTTTAATAAAGAGTCAAAAATCAATACAGTATAAACTGAATATAACAAGGTAGAGTGATATACTGTATGCTGAAACTATAGTGTTCATATTGTTCAAACTTTAAAGATAGATACTAGTTACTGAAAGGGAACAGTTATAGGAATTTACCAACAAAACTACGCAACTGGAATGGTTAAACATTCACTTTATTTTCATTAAAGTAAAAACCCAATGATTTAGACTTTATGGTGTGTAGATATACAGCATGAAAGAGTAATTTCGGTGCATTTATAGTAACCTTTACCATACTTGTAGCTCACACAGCAGGTTTTGAGTTTGAACAAAGCCGTGTAAATTCTGCAAGATCATTTCTGCTTTTGTCTGGAGAGAGGCGTGTCAGGGCATTAGCATTAATGAAACCATGGATATAATCTTTTTAAATAGCTTTGAACTATACGTGACTCAGCACTGACCCCAGATATTTTTGACTTTGTCTCTATATTTGGACTTTTCCAAAGACACATAAGTTCTCATAAACTATGATACTTTAACAGTGGACTTTGAACATTTTATGACCTTTGTGAAATCCATTCGCACTGATGAATGAACTTGACATTTTCTTGACCTTTAGGTCTGGAGGGAGACCCGGACCTGCAGTTTTTGCTGAAAGGTGGAGACCTACTAAAGGTGAAGTCCAGGTCATGGAGGAAGACCCGCTTCTTTCGGCTGAATGATGACTGCAAGACTATGTGGCAACAGACCAGCAAGACTTTCAAGAGCGACTCCGGCTGTAAGTGTCTCTGCTGTCGCTTTCTTCATTTCAACAGTCATATCATGAAGAATCAAGAGTTTACTTGAGATAATAGATCTTGGCATTCTTAGTAAAACACTGTAAATATGTGAATACAACTAAGCTGCCAAAACAAAGCAATTTTGATCAATAAAACGCATGAATGTTCAGGTTTACAAAACGATATCGGCCATAAATAGGTAACTAAAGTAAAATGTGTCATGAAGAACTCAAATACTTTTTTTGTGGTAAAATTAAATATATAATGAAATAAAATTGAAATAAAAAATAAGAAAAAATATTTTATATAATACGCTACCATTCAAAAGTTTAGTATCAGTAAGATTTTATTTAAGAAGTAATTTATACTTTTATTCAGTAGTTTGTTGATCAAGAATGCATTAATTTGATGAAAAGTGACAGTAAATACATTTATAATGTTACAAAATATATATTTTTTAAAGGGGTCATATGATGCGATTTCAAGTTTTCCTTTCTCTTTGGAGTGTTACAAGCTGTTCGTGAATAGATAAGATCCCTGAAGTTGCAAAGACTAAAGTCTCAAAACCAAAGAGATATACTTTATCAAATTTAAGATTCTGCCATGCCCCCCTAAAACGGCTCGTTCTAACACGCCCCCACATATCTAGGTCACTATGTGGGATCATATGACCCCTTTAAATAAATGCTGTTTTTTAAACTTTCTATTCATCAAAGAATCCTGTACAAAAGAATCAAAAATATTAAGCAGCTCATCTGTTTTCAAAATTGATAAATACCTTCCTTGAGCATCAAAATCAGCATATTAGAATGATTTCTGAAGGATCATGTGACACTGTAGACTGCAGTAATGATACTGAAAATTCAGCTTTTTTATCAGAAATATAAAATGATTTAAAATAGAAACAGTAGACTATTTCTATTCTTACTGTATTTTAATCATACACACAACGTGTGTGTGTATGTATGTATATGCAATTATCATATATAATATCTCAATACAAATAGATTATTATATAAAAACATGTTTCTTGATACACTGTAATTGAATAACTTTGTTTAATTTCCTTACAATAAAGATCTCATGCTGACATCAGCAGGCCTCACATGAGATGGCTTTCCTGTACACTCATCATTATAGCCTGGAGCTGTAAAAAATAGTTAGACCTGTCCTTCACTTTCCTCCACAAACATTTTTAGCGCCTGTAAGGCCAGAAAAGGCTTTGAGTTGGGAACAAAATTTTTGTGGTGATATTAAATCTTTTCCCCACATGTTCTCCAGAGGCCTCTGCTCCTCTTAGCTTCCGGCCTGGTTCCTCCTGGCCAAAGGCCTCAGATCAGGCCTCTTTATCTCCTGTCTGCCAGACCGTGGCTGCCTCCTCTTTGTCCTGCATGTGAGTGATTAAGGAAACCAGGACCAAACAAAATCAAAGGATTCTAGTGAAAACACCAGACATCAGCAGGGAAACCCTCTGGTCCTGTTCACATGATATTCTCACCCATTAGTTGGGTGTTTTGAAGCGTTTTTACTCCCATTGGCCAGGAATGATGATTAGATGGATTACACATGTAGTTGAAGCCTTTCGGCCTCTTTTCACGTTCTCAATACAATGACATAAACGATGGAAAATGTATTAAACATCTCAAAACGTAAAAATCCTAATTGACTTAATGCAAGTACTGAAATGTTACAGGATGATTCAGAGCCTTGCCATTGAAGCTAATAGTTAAATCTATAAAATATTATCTAGATAATGGTTTTAAAGTGAGAAGACAAGGGGATCATGTTTTTACAGACAGGAAATAATCTTATCTTATAGTGATGGTGCCAAGTTTATCTCAAGTTAAATGGACTTGGAGGGGTGGGAAACCAACTGAGGAAACGTGACAGATTGTTTTTATCAAACACTAGTGCTGAGGCAGTAAAACTATCCAGAAATGGGACAATGACCATGTTTAAATAAAAGAGACAGTTTAAATAAAACATCAACCTCAGTCCTGTGTGATGCCCCGTTTCATAGATTGTCGCTATTATCGCTACAACAATGAACAGATTTTGCCCCGGTTTAGGGTGTTTGTCATGAGTTTATTGTTCCCGCCTCCAGCAGAACTCAATGAGAGGTCACATGGTCAACATCCCACACTGTAATATACAACAGAGGTCACATGAGGCAAAATCAGACTAGAAAGAGCCCAGATTTGTGTTTAGTGGGGTTTGCTAGCACATCACAGTTGCTATTATTATTTTACACTAAGTATTAAACTTTACTGCCTACAATAGTTCTTCCATGACATGAATTATATGTCAAATAGGGCGGCTCGGAGGATTGAACTTTTCCTCTCTGTGTGCAGGAACCGAGAAAGAGCACCTCATAGGAAGTGGTTTAAAAACCAGACGTATTTTGGAAATGAGCAATCATTTTTAAAAGTGAACATCACTACATTAAAAAAAAAAAACACTTCACCTTAAAAAAGTGTTGGTGCAATTATTAACCAAAATGTCACTGTTTTCATCTTTAAATAGTATTTCAGTCACAGTGTTTTATATAATACATTAAATGTAACAATAATAATTCGACAAATTCAGAAAACAGAGGTCAGAATTTGGCCAAGCACAATGTTTCCTTTCTGTCAGCTTGTTTGAGTGGAATCTGAAGGATGCTAGACTTGCCTTTGACACTGCTTTCTTTCACCAGTTCACTTGAAATTGGGTGTTATCCAAATAGTTCTCCTACAGTCCCCATATTTGCCTTTGTGAGCGTGTGCCACAAATTATCTCCAGCTGTGCTTTTTCGGCACTTTCCACAAATACTGTACAAATAAGGGTGCGGAGCTCTTCATTTTCATCAAATGGTCAGCGAAAGAAAGTCCTTAACCTTTGGAAAATGTTATACATCTATCTCAGGCAGTTCAATTACATATTATATGAACTAGACACAGTAGTAAAGTAACCTCTACTTGTGTAATTTTGTAATTTTCTATAATTTTCTGTCATTTTCTTTTTTGTAATTTTCAATAAATATTTTAATTACACTGACAAATTCTATAAATTTAAATAAAAAAACTTAAAAATAACAATAAATAAATTCTTAATTTAATAAATTAGGGTTAAGAATTAAAAATAGTTTTTACTACAATGAATTGAATATAATTTAACATCAAAATTATGATTTTAACAGTACAGTCGAAAAGGTCAAGACCTCTAAAGTGGGACAGGACAAAATCACCATGTAAATGGGATACAGACATTAGATGTTTTTAAACCCAGCTACTTTTCATGTTAGACTAGTATTTTAGTTTAGAAATCTAAAATATCTGATAGATCTCACACAAAAAACAGGATTTGTGCCTTTGCTGTTTTTGTCACGTGTCGCGAAGTGTACCGTATTCATGGCAAGTGGCTTCTGTTGTGTTTGCTCTGTTCCAGTAGGCTGAGTACACACAACCCAACCCTGATCTGATTCTTCACAGAAAGCCATCTATTGTGTCTAATTGTTTTATTTAGGATCATGAATTCATTGCAAGAGAGATTTCCAAAAATCTCACTTGTGTCTCACTTCCAGTTCCTATTTGTGCACAGACCGGTCAATTAAAGCTCTAAACTTGACCCAGTTCTGTTAACACATTTCCGATGAACACTGTGATAACAGCAGAGCCACTCATGTTTGGGTTCCCCCTGCCTGTGTGCTTGTGTTTTAGTGAGGGTCACGTCTGAACTATATGATATGCTCCTCAGTTTATTACCCTATATAGCACAATGCATACGATCTGAGAGGAATAGAGCTCAGTTTGTCCTATTGAATGTTGTATTTATTTAACACTGTGATTAAAGGGCAGAGGGCACAGGAGGAGACTGATTGTAATGTACAGCTGTGTTTACCAAGCACATTCGATAATCCTCAAGTAAGGTGACTCCACTGAGGTTATCACCTTCTTATCACTGTCTGACGTGATGCCTGCGTTGAGTTGTATTTCATACAGCAGTGCTTTGCCAAGATTCTTTGATTGAGAAATCAGAATCAGAATGAGCTTTATTGCCAGGTATGTTTACACATACGAGGAATTTGTTTTTGTGACAGAAGCTTCCACAGTGTAACAGAATGACAGTGACAGAACAAAAAAACACAGATAATAAAAAATAAAATAAATAAAAAAATAGAACAAGTAAATGAAAAAGTAATGAATAAAGATATAAAAATCGACAATTGTATGTACAGGTATATAACAATAGACAGTTGTATGTACAGGTATATTATGTATATTATGAAATGTAGACTGAGTATGTGTGTTAGATAAATAAGTGTATGAGTGAATAAATAGTGTGTGTTCCACAGTTATTGTCAAGTGTTCATGAGATGGATTGCCTGAGGGAAGAAACTGTTCCTGTGTCTGCTCTGTAGCGTCGACCAGATGGCAACAGTTCAAAGAGGAGAGTGTGCTGGATGTGAGGGGTCCACAGTGATTTTGCCAGTCCTTTTGCTCACTCTGGATGAGTACAGTTCTTGGAGAGAAAAATCCTTATTTGTCCTGGAGAGCAGAAGGAGTTCATCCGTTTTGTTGGGTAGAAAGCGGAGGTTCGCCAGATGGATGCTAGGCAACGGCGTTCTGAATCCGCGCTGCCTTAGCTTCACGAGCGCGCCGGCTCGCTTCCCCCGTCTGCGCGTCCTGAAGCGTTTGATCAGCGCCGCTGCTCCCCCGACTACAATGTCCAGCAAAACATCAGAATAATCGAAAACCGGTGAAATATCGGGTGGTGTGTACTTCCGAATGTCCAGCAATTCGTCTCTGGTGAAACTGATTGCAGGGATATAACTAAAGACAGGACAAACTAACAAAAACATAAAAACAACTGCGGAGCACGCCACGGAGGCAGCCATCAGCGTCGGCGCCATCGCGAATCAAGATTCGCGATAAATCAAGATTATTCAAGTATCTCTCATGGTAATGTTAGAGTTGAATCGTTCAAGGATGTTGATTTGAAATTTGATTAGGCGTGACAGGAATTTACTGAATTAAAATAAATTGAACACAGTTGCAAAATCAAAATTAGGGTTAAAGTAATTAATCAATTAAATTCATATATTTCACGGTTCTTGTAATCTTCCATTACAAATCCATAAAATTAATTACATTGATAAAATATAATGAAAACATAAATGAACAAATGTAATGAAAATTATATAAATTAAATACAGATTTTTACAAGAGGTATTTAAAAAATTGATTATTTAATATAATCTGAAAATATGTTGTCTGTATGGGTAATTCAACTGAAATTATTAAAAATTGTACAGCAGCTATATGCACAATTTCATTCCATTCTATTTCATTACATTTAAATTGGAATTACAATTCTGTTTGCTCAATTTAAATGTAAAATTCATTTCGGAATTGCATACAACCCTGTTAAAACACTGATCTCTAAAATCCTTAAAAATGGATGGACCCTCTTGCACTTTGCTGTGTCCTTTGCTGGTTTGGAAGGTTTTTAAATGTCAAAATATATTTCATGTACAGACCTGCATATCAATTGAGTTTCATAAGCCTAGAAAAAATGTCTCTTTGACTTCAGGCTGTTGTTTTGTTGTAAATCACTGTTCTGAGTCCAGATGTTTCTCTCATCAATCTGCCAACAGATTTCTTGTGAAAGGCAGTTTTATTCACAAAAGGTTCAAAATGTTATTTGTGCAGTTAGTTAAAACTCTAAAAGGAGTAATAATTAAAAAATCTCTTGCCTCTTTCACAGTCAGCCTCGAGGACATCGATTCTGTGCGGTATGGCCGTCAGACTGAAGGGCTGCGGAAGTACACTGACCTCTCAGTGGAGGACCGCTGCTTCTCCATCATCTTCAAAAGTCGACGGAAGAACGTGGACTTGATCGCCTCATCCAAAGAGGAGGCCAAGCGGTGGGTCAGTGGTCTGGAGAAGGTCATAACTGGCATGCAAAACCTCAACCGACAACAGAACACCGAACAGTATCCTTGAACATCCATTCCCCAAAGCCTGCTCTCTGAACACATTTGTCAGCACTGTTGTAATTGAAGGAAAACATTGATTTAAACATATTTAGGTTACACTTAATACTTGTACTTAATATAGGGTTAAGTTTAGGGATAGGTTTCGGTTTAAAGTTGGTTGCTTATAGTTATGCATAATTTACTATTATTCTTATAGTAAGTACATGTAAAATAAAGTGTTACTCATATTTATACCATTTTTGGTCCCATTTTATATTAAGTACTTGTACTTGTACATATACAATGTACTTATTGTGTTCATATTGTATTGCAAAACACTTTTGCTGCTATTGAGGTGGGATACGGGTAAGGTTAGGGACAGGTTTGGTGGTTTGGGTAGGTTTAAGGGTGGGTTAAGGTGTAAGGGATGGGTTAACAGTGTAATTATAAATGTAATTACAGAAATTAATTACAGATGTAATTGCATGCAGATATTTTTCAAATATAAGTACAATGTAAAAACATGTATGCACACAATAAATGCATTGTACCAAATGATTAATTTACATGTAAGTACATAGTAGTTAAGGCCACTTAATATAAAGTGGGACCCTATTTTTGCGCTAAAAGTTCTACGTGTAAAAAGTGTAATAAGCATTTATATAAAACTTTTTTATATATAACTGGAAAAGTTCTAGCTAAAAAAACTGAAATATATTTCTAGTGTTAATATTCAGTCCTTACATCAGACAAAAAGCTGGATCTATAACTGCATGCGCAAGGCAGACAAGAACGCAGACAACAAAATGTCCTTGAAGGAGTTGAAGCATTTCCTACGTCAGATCAATATTGAGGTGGACGACAGTTACGCTGAGATGCTCTTCAAGGTGAGATGCAAATCATAATGCTATCGTTTTCATTTGAACTTGTATGAGTAGTTTATTGTAATTTTTTTGTTTAAATAACTGCTGTTCAGGATTATGTACGAGTCTACAAGTTATCTACACAATACCAAGTAAAACAAAATGTTTAAATTGCTTTTGAGCTCACTGGCAGCAATTCATAGAAGTTGGTGTCTCTTGCTGACGGTCCTCAAGAACTGTTTTTTGTTTAGTTTTTTTTGCTATTTAATTTTGCAGAAGTGTGACAGATCACAGTCAGGCACTCTAGAGGGATCTGAGATCAAACACTTCTACGATTTACTGACTTACCGTGATGAAATTGATGTGATCTATGCGAAGTACGCTAGTACTAATGGACAGATGAGCTCCGGCGACCTGTTGGACTTCCTCCAATATGAGCAGAGGGAGCCAGTGTCTTCGGAGTATGTGCAGAAGCTTATCGAGAAATATGAGGTGGATGAAATAGGTAAGCACACTTAAATTACCATAAGAATACATCAGATTACTGAAACTTTTAAAGATATTAATAGCTGCATTTATAGGATGCATTCAATTAATCAAAAGTGATAGTAAAGACATGTATATATTTAAAAAAAAAAATCTAATTTTTTTTTTACTTTTTCTTTATCAAAGTATCATGGTTTCCACAAAAATATTAAGCAGAACAGCCATTTTAAACATTGACAATAAGAAATATTTCTTGAGCAGCAAATAAGCATATTAGAATGATTTCTGAAGGATCATGTGACACTAAAGATTGGAGTAATGATGCTGAAAATTCTGCTTTGCCTTCACAGGAATAAATTTACATTTTAAAATGTAGTAAAAAAAAACAGTTGTTTTAAATTGTTAGAATATTTTACATATAATTATATAACAAACTATTTATACACAATAACGAACCAAATTACCCAGTCAAAATAGCAGATGTATCGTAACAAAATATAAGTAATTGTATTTTTACAATACATTTTAGTATAATACAGTGTTTTCACATTTACCCAGCTAAACAGAACAAGTGCATGAGCAAAGATGGTTTCCTGATGTACATGAACCATGAGGAAGGCTCCATCTTTAACCCCGTCCACAAAGGCATATACCAAGACATGCGCCAACCGCTCAATCATTACTTCATTTCCTCTTCCCACAACACCTATCTGATGGAGGACCAGCTGAAGGGGCCTAGCAGCACAGAAGCCTATATCAAGTACGAACATGTCTGCTTACACTGGAAGTCTCAATAGCAATGCATTAACACGTTAAGCATTCATCCATAAGAAATATATGAGAGAATGGTTGTTGTCTTTTAGAGCTCTGATGAAGAGCTGCCGCTGTGTGGAGCTGGATTGCTGGGATGGTGCAAACGGAGAGCCGGTCATTTACCACGGCCATACGCTCACATCCAAAGTGCTCTTCAAAGATGTCATCAAGGCCATCAAAGAATATGCTTTCAAAGTGAGTGAAATGACACCAGTTGACCTTATAAATCCTTACAGTTAACAAATAATGCCCATCTCTTTTCAAAGTGTGAGTTTTCTTTCTATGTCCATCAAACAAAAGAATGTTGCGAATCAGCTCACTTGATGATGTATGGTACCCAAAGTTTTTGGAACAAATGACTTCAAATGTTTATCATCATGCAAAAATTAGAAAGTACAAGCTTCTGTATCAGGTTTTTATGTAGAAAAATCTACATAAAATCTACCTAAATGTCAAGAAGTCGAACAGTCTGCATGTCATAACAATTGACATTAACACAAAAGAAAAATGAATAACAGATGCTATGCAGATGCAAAAAGGAGTAAATAACGTGTTTTTGTGTGTTGTTCCTTAAAATAAAATTAACTTTAGCTGCATGTCAAACTTCTAGTAGTGTTGAATTATATGTACCATATCTATACCATTTTACCATTAAAAAAAATGCTTTCCTTTTCTCAAAATATGTGTTTAATATTACCTAATTTTCCAATGATTCTCAAACAATTAGTTCAAAACAGTTCTAAGATTCAGTCTCTCTAAACCCCCCTTTCCGTGAGCCTACTCTGCTCTCTGCTCTGATTGGTCAGATGGCCCAGTCTGTTGTGATTGGTCTACCGCATACAGCACGTGTCGGAAATGATACGCCCATTGCCATAGTTCTGTATTTTGAACGCTCGAAAGAACTGGGGTTGTACTGCTGTGAATTTTAACCACTGATTCTTTGCAGCCTCATCTTTAGGAAGTGAAAATAAAACAAATTTACTTTCACAGCATAGGACACAGCGTCTTCTCAACAAGATGTTAACCACACGAACAAGTCACAGTGTTTGCGGGTGGGTCAAGTTGTTCGCAGCTGGCCTACGTAGACCATAGACGGGCATTATGCATATGTTTTATCCTGTGATGTGTAGCGGTAGCCGTCACGGAAGTGGGATTCGAATTACTGACGACTCGTTTAGGCTGTTCAGAGTCCATTCATTCTTTTGCGAGACAATAACTTACATTCACATACAGCTACATTACACACTGCATGAAAGGCAATATTGGAAATGGCATAATAGGGGCACTTTAAAGCTTGACGAGCAAAATGTTGGATAGTAACAGCACAGTGATTTGAGTACCTACTTGGGTTGTCAGTCATTTACTGTCGTATGGTCATTTGGATATTGTGATCACTAATATTAGTGTTTTTTGCTACACTAGACCTCACAGTATCCAGTGATCCTGTCTTTGGAGAACCATTGCTCCGTAGAGCAGCAGAAGATCATGGCCCATCACTTAACCTCCATCCTGGGCAGCGCTCTGCTCACTCAACCCCTGGGGTATCAAATGCCCACCACTTTTCCAGGACCTGAGGTTAGACTGCAAAAAATAACATACATGCATGTTTCCTGCACCACTGCACTATAAAAAATGATTGTTCAAAGTTATAAATTAGAGTATGTTTTTTTTTTTTTATTCAGTGTTACTTTGTAATTGTTTGTGAAATTTAATAGCAATCTGTGAATGAAAATTGTTTCTACACCATTTTTTCCCCCTGTATTACAGGTGCATCTCAATAAATTAGAATGTCGTGGAAAAGTTCATTTATTTCAGTAATTCAACTCAAATTGTGAAACTCGTGTATTAAATAAATTCAATGCACACAGACTGAAGTAGTTTAAGTCTTTGGTTCTTTTAATTGTGATGATTTTGGCTCACATTTAACAAAAACCCACCAATTCACTATCTCAACAAATTAGAATATGGTGACATGCCAATCAGCTAATCAACTCAAAACACCTGCAAAGGTTTCCTGAGCCTTCAAAATGGTCTCTCAGTTTGGTTCACTAGGCTACACAATCATGGGGAAGACTGGCCCAGTCTGTTGTGATTGGTCTACCGCATACAGCACGTGTCGGAAATGATACGCCCATTGCCATAGTTCTGTATTTTGAACGCTCGAAAGAACTGGGGTTGTACTGCTGTGAATTTTAACCACTGATTCTTTGCAGCCTCATCTTTAGGAAGTGAAAATAAAACAAATTTACTTTCACAGCATAGGACACAGCGTCTTCTCAACAAGATGTTAACCACACGAACAAGTCACAGTGTTTGCGGGTGGGTCAAGTTGTTCGCAGCTGGCCTACGTAGACCATAGACGGGCATTATGCATATGTTTTATCCTGTGATGTGTAGCGGTAGCCGTCACGGAAGTGGGATTCGAATTACTGACGACTCGTTTAGGCTGTTCAGAGTCCATTCATTCTTTTGCGAGACAATAACTTACATTCACATACAGCTACATTACACACTGCATGAAAGGCAATATTGGAAATGGCATAATAGGGGCACTTTAAAGCTTGACGAGCAAAATGTTGGATAGTAACAGCACAGTGATTTGAGTACCTACTTGGGTTGTCAGTCATTTACTGTCGTATGGTCATTTGGATATTGTGATCACTAATATTAGTGTTTTTTGCTACACTAGACCTCACAGTATCCAGTGATCCTGTCTTTGGAGAACCATTGCTCCGTAGAGCAGCAGAAGATCATGGCCCATCACTTAACCTCCATCCTGGGCAGCGCTCTGCTCACTCAACCCCTGGGGTATCAAATGCCCACCACTTTTCCAGGACCTGAGGTTAGACTGCAAAAAATAACATACATGCATGTTTCCTGCACCACTGCACTATAAAAAATGATTGTTCAAAGTTATAAATTAGAGTATGTTTTTTTTTTTTTATTCAGTGTTACTTTGTAATTGTTTGTGAAATTTAATAGCAATCTGTGAATGAAAATTGTTTCTACACCATTTTTTCCCCCTGTATTACAGGTGCATCTCAATAAATTAGAATGTCGTGGAAAAGTTCATTTATTTCAGTAATTCAACTCAAATTGTGAAACTCGTGTATTAAATAAATTCAATGCACACAGACTGAAGTAGTTTAAGTCTTTGGTTCTTTTAATTGTGATGATTTTGGCTCACATTTAACAAAAACCCACCAATTCACTATCTCAACAAATTAGAATATGGTGACATGCCAATCAGCTAATCAACTCAAAACACCTGCAAAGGTTTCCTGAGCCTTCAAAATGGTCTCTCAGTTTGGTTCACTAGGCTACACAATCATGGGGAAGACTGCTGATCTGACAGTTGTCCAGAAGACAATCATTGACACCCTTCACAAGGAGGGTAAGCCACAAACATTCATTGCCAAAGAAGCTGGCTCTTCACAGAGTGCTGTATCCAAGCATGTTAACAGAAAGTTGAGTGGAAGGAAAAAGTGTGAAAGAAAAAGAACTTTTCCACGACATTCTAATTTATTGAGATACACCTGTATGGTAAAGAAATGATGTGTACAACTCTTCATACATTAGCTGATTCTACATATCGCCACCTGGTGGATAACAGAGACAGCTCTCTAATCTCTAAACCAGCTACATGACCTCTTAAAATCTCTTTTCACCACACCCCACTTTCCTCAGATGACTTCCTCATCATCCCTACAATCTTCCTGTTTACTTCTATATCCATGAATTCAAATAGCTGAAGACTGAGGAAGTGATTATCGGTAGAGCTACGATTAAATGGAGACAGATTGTGCTCTCTTTTATCATAACTATTTATTATTTCCTGATGATTCACCAAAACACTCACCAAGCTTTTGAGCTGCAGTCTGAAAGGCAAATGACAAGACAGTACAAGTTCAGATGGGCAGGATTTGAAGTGCTTATTTTGGTTGTGAGGTGGGAGGGGCTTCTGAATGATGTCACATTGGAATCCGTGCAGCTGGATTCGATTTGCCATGACAACTTTTCCTTTCAATTTGAATTGAGTTTCAACCCTGAGCTTTGTCCTGTACTGAGAATTTCTGCCAGTTTCTCTGAATGAAACTGCGGCAGGATGGTAATCAAAGGAGATTCTAGGATTTCAGCCTGAGGGCAGCTCAGCCATGAACTCTTATCCTCGCACAAACACACAAGAAGAGACACAATAGTAAAGCATCATCTTTCAGTTCCATATATTATGTGAAAGTTATCTAGAATTTCTCAAAAAAAAATTCCTCTTCCATTTTTGAAAGAAGTCTCCCATGCCTCATCAAGGCTGTATTTATTTGATCAAGAAAACAATAAAAACTGTAATATTGTGAAACATTACAGTTTAGAATAAAATCTATTTTAAAATATAATTTATTACTGTGATGGCAAAGCATGAATTTCCAGCAGCCATTATTCTGGTCTTCAGTGTCACATGATCCTTCAGAAATCATTCTAATATGCTGATTTGGAAACATTTCTTCTTATTAGCAGTGTAGAAACAGTGCTGCTTAATATTTTTTTAATAGAAATTATTTACTGTAACTTCTGATCAATTTTATGCATCCTTGCTGAATGAAAGTATTAATTTACTTCACAAAAAGTCTGACTACAAACTTCTGAAATTTAAAAAAAAATGTATCTATATATGTATCTATATTATATATTTATATAATATTTTATATATATATATATTTGTGCCATCTGTTTATGTTTGTAGGAGCTGAAGGGACGTTTCCTGATCAAGGGCAAGCGTTTGAACAAACTGGATGCAACATTCAACAACAACACCACCGAGGATGAGGACAGTGTGTCAGAGGAAGATGAGGCTGCTGAACTCAAAGAGGCTGAACAGAAACCAAAGGAAAAGGCGTGTAAAAACCCTACTGCTGTTCAATGACCAACAACCAAACATCAGCTTTACCTGTATTACCAATGATCAGTACAGTGTAGGGATGTAATGGTTCACTCAACTCACGATTCGATTCGATTCGATTCACGGTTTTGATTTCACGATTCGATTCGATTCACGGTTTTATTTTATTTTTTACAAAATGAGATTTAAGACAAATTATAAATTAAATGTGTCCTTTTATTATTGCTTGGACAAACCGCTGTAAACAAAGCAGCCTGCACTTATTAATATGCATTATACAGAGGCAAGATGAATAGAAAAAATACCATCTAAACTTTTCGAAAGACAGTAAGTTCCCCTCAGACATGCATTCATATAAACTCCTACACCTAACTGAATCGTGATTTGTTTAGCATCTCAACCGATTTGAATCGTCACATATTTGAATCGATTTTCAACCGGCTCGCGGTTAATCATTACATCCCTAGTACAGTGGAAAACTATGTATGAATGTAATGTAATCTGTTTTCGAAAGCCTGCTGTCTGTCAAGTGCTACAAAATTAACACTCACCAAACATCACATTCCCTGTGTGAGTAAAAATTGGCAAAAAAAGCAGACTATTCATTGGTTCAACATAAAATATGTTGCAAGTTGAATTAATCAAAAGTAAATTTCTGATCCTGGCTAAAGTTTATTTTCAGACCACTGCGTTTTCTTATGAATATCAAGTGGAAAACAAACTTTCAGAAACGTTCCACAAAGCACACTTACTAGAGCCATGGAGTATATTTGCATATACAAAGCTGCGGTTGATAAGGTCGAGTTCAAATCGGCACACTCAGCTCTCGCAGACATTCCCACAAAAGCCCGATTCAAATCATGAGACAGACAACAGATTTGTTCTGCTTATTTGGCATCCCTTTGTCATTGCATGTGTGAAGTCCATTTATGTTGTGACCAAATGTAATTAAAATCTATTTTTGATTATGTTGTAGAGTTCCAACAAGATCAAGCTGGCTAAGGAGCTGTCAGACATGGTCATCTACTGTAAGAGTGTCCATTTCAGCACCTTCGAGCATTCAAGAGACAACCACAATTTCTATGAAATGGCCTCCTTCAAGGAGAGCAAAGCAATGAACCTGGCAGAAAACTCAGGTAAACCAGGGTGTTGCTAACTTCTGGGTTTGCCTACAAAAATACGCCATCACTGCAGCGCTCTATAGGGCCTTAAACAAAAACAAAAAAATGAAAGGCCAGTGATGTTGCCAGATATACTCTAATATCACATCTTTGCTGATTTCTTAAAGCTACAGCATTTATTCATCACAACATGGATAAGCTGAGCAGAATCTACCCAGCCGGCTCCAGAACTGATTCATCCAACTACAATCCAGTGCCACTGTGGAACGCTGGCTGCCAAATAGGTGCAAAGCCCCTACATATTATGAGTCTGATGCAGTTCAGAAAGCCTGTTTATAATCTACCCATGCTTCCAAACACCACTTAATCTGTTTTTATCCCTCAAATGGTTTACAGTGGCTCTAAACTTCCAGACTCCTTGTAAGGAGATGGAACTGAATCAGGGCCGCTTTCTACCTAATGGCAAGTGTGGCTACATGCTGAAGCCAGAGTTTCAGAGGGACCCGGCCTCCCAGTTTGACCCCAAGAACCTCAGTGTAGGCCCCTGGCTGCAGAAAAAGACCTTGCATGTCATGGTGAGATTCTTATTAAAAATAATAATAAAAAAATAAGGACAAATATAAATAAATATTCTACCTGATACAATAAATAAAAATAAATTATTAAGTACATTAAATAAATAAAAAAGAAATTATGAATATATATTTGTTATTTGTTCATTAGAAATGAATCACTGTCGGTGCCGATAGCCTTGTTGGCAGCACGCCAACATACACCATTGCACTTCAGGCGTCCCGAGTTTGAATCCCACCCCCACTTCACTTCCTGTCTACCAGCTGTCCTATTAAAATAAAGGCAAAAAGCGCCAAAAATAAATCTTAAGAAAAAAATTATTAATCGTTAAAATTGATTCATTTTAAATGCTACAAGTGAATTTTAGGCATCACAACATTATATTATATACAGTATGAAAAATAAATATTCATTTTGATGTTTGCTAACAGTGTTATTCTGGCTTATACAATAAATAAAAGAAATTAATGAGTACTTAAAAAAATAAAATCTGTTTTTTTAAATATTTTAATTGTTTTTTTTATATTTTTAAAACATAATACATTATCTTATTATGAAAAATAAATATAAATTTTGAGGTTTGCTAACAATTACATTTAACAGTGTTATTCTGGCTGATACAATAATTAAAAGAAATGAATGAGTACATTCAAAATAAAATCTGTTTTTTATATTTTAATTATTTTGTATTATTTTTAAAACAATAAATATGTATTTTTTTATTAAAAATGAATCAATAAAAGCTCAAATTCAATCATTTTAAATGCTAGAAGTGAATTTAGGCATCACAACCTTGTAATATTCATTATGAGAAATAAATATTCATTTTGAGGTTTGATAAAGACATTTAATAGTGTTATTAAATTATACTGGCACTGATATATCATTCATCCCTAAACCAAATGCAAACTATCTAAACCAATCCAAACACATCGACCAATAACTGTATATGTCTGTTCAGATAATCTCAGCCCAGCAGCTGCCTAAGATCAATAAGGACAAGCAGAAGTCCATCGTGGACCCTCTGGTCAGGGTGGAGATCTACGGTGTGCCCGCCGACAATGCCAGCAAACAGACACATCACATTGAAAACAATGGCAAGTGTCAACAGTGCATTTACACTTACATGTTTAACACATGCTTTTTACCTAAGTGTAGGTCACTTAGGTGTTTTTTGGTTACAGGTTTCAATCCTACGTGGAACACAGACTTCCAGTTCACTGTTCACGTGCCGGAACTGGCTTTGGTGCGGTTTGTGGTGGAGGACTATGATGCTGCTTCCCATAATGACCTGGTTGGCCTGTACACTCTGCCCTTCACCAGCATGCAGAATGGTGAGCTGGTGAAAATAAGTCAGAAATTACTTCCTGTTGTGCAGTTATTATGAATTTGCTCACCATAAGTCTATCTGTCTTCAGGATACCGCCATGTGCCTCTGCTCACAAAAAGAGGAAGCCTCATTCCTTCAGCGGGACTGTTTGTACACATCATGGCTCTTGATGGTTAATAAACTCCAACATTCCCCTCAGTCATTGCAATGCCAAAGTGTGCAGATCACTGAACAGCACAGTCAACTAAACTGTTCTCTGCAAACACTTTTTGGATAAGATTTGGACCTTTCTGATATGCCTTGTGCTTTACTGGTTAGTTCTCCTTACCATTTGAGTACCGAGGCGTACCTTAAAATGCTTCATGGAATTAGAATGTGTGGTTTAGTAAAAAAAAAAAAAAAAAACTTTAAAGACATAAGAAAAAGAAATAATATCAAATCAAATAATGTTCAGAATTCAGCACAGTCTTTCCATAGCATGCAAATTGAAAATAAATGCAATACTGTTTAAATAATAAAATACCAAAATCATAAATAATGTGTGGTTTAGTAAAAAAAAAAAAAAAAGAACTTTAAAGACATAAGAAAAAGAAATAATATCAAATCAAATAATGTTCAGAATTCAGCACAGTCTTTCCATAGCATGCAAATTGAAAATAAATGCAATACTGTTTAAATAATAAAATACCAAAATCATAAATTTGAATTTAAAATATGTTTTATTTAAAGTTAATTGAAATTTGAATATTTTATGTAAAATTGTATGATTTTTTGGATTTTGGCTGCCAATAAGAGTAGTACTTTCTAGTGCTGTCAAATTGATTAATCGTGATTAATCGTATCCAAAATAAAAGTACGTGTTTACCAGAGTTGGGGGTAACGCATTACAAGTAATGGGAGTTACGTAATCAGATTACTTTTTTGAAGTAACTGGTAAAGTAATGCATTACTTTTAAATTTACAATGAGATATCGGAGTTACTTTTTCAAATAAGTAACACCAGTTACTTTGTTTTCCCATTTATTCATTGCTGGCTCTCCTGTCCCCGTGTTGAGAGAAATTGGAGGTGAGGTGCAGAGGCACTTCCTTCAGCCTGAGGCTTATTCATTTCACTTTTGGTGTGAAAGGGCCTTTACAGTTGCCAGAAATATAACTTTTCGGGGTTTTTGTTATTAATAAACAAATAAGCAAGCCTAGCCCAGGTGACAAAAAGTAACGCAAAAGTAACATAATGCCATAAAGAGTAACTAAGTAACGCAATTAGTACATTTTTTATGAACTCAATATTGCAATGCATTACTTTTAAAAGTAACTTTGCCCAACACTGGTTTATGTGTGTGTACTGTGCATATTTATATGTCTATATAAATACACACACACACGTATATATTTAAGAAATATTTACATATATATATATATATATTCATATTTATATATGATTTATATCATATAAAAATATAAATATATATTACATACATTTCTTAAATATATACATGTGTGTGTATTTATATAGACATATAAATATGCACAGTACACACACATATTATGTAAACACAAACGTTTATTTTGGATGCGATTAATCACGATTAATCGATTTGACAGCACTAGTTCTTTCAGATCCACTTAACAGGTTTTACCATATTGAAGTCCATTTTGAGAATTCTATCGTCATTCCTGTCTAAATCAGTTTTTGGTGCATTTTTCACCAAAAACTGATTCAACCCAATTTTTTGTCAAAGATTTGTAATTGGAGAATGTTTTACCTAACACTTTTCTATTTTAATATTAAAAAATGTATATTTAAAAATATACTACACTGATCCCTTTTTACATTGAGTATTTAAACAGTGTTTGTATATGATTTCTGATTGTCAATGTGTTTTTGTCCAAACATTCCCATTAAGTCTTTATCTTAGTCACGATTATTTCTTGGTTAAACGGATTTAATCTTAACAATACCATCTCCTTTGTTCAGTGTTGTGTGTGATGTGTTGAACTGTAGTAATATTGTTCAATATTTGTTAGTCCCCATTTTTACAATGACTTATGTTGGCTTATGCTCAGTTTTAAGACAACATGTTCTTTATATGAACCCAGGATACAAATGATGGACAATGAACCATTTACCCCATATGACCAATACTGTACGTGCTATCCAATATTTTCTGAAAAACATGTTCAGCTATCAATTATAATCACATTATATGAGAATCTGAACAGTAGGCGTGTATTGAGTTATCCTGTCAGAGCAGTAGATGTGTTGCGTAAAAGAAATGTGCCTAACGTAAAAGAATGGAAAAAGTTATACATTTACAAACAGTAGCTGTGCTCTATATTTTTAAGGTGTTTGTTTTGTATTCATTGTTGTTGGTATAAGGTATTGCTCCTTTTATCTGCTCTTTTTCTAGAAATATTTCTATTTTTATGTTGTTCTTAACTTATCTAATGTGCCTTAAAGGAAAGTTGTTACACAGGCTGTTAACTGTCTACTTCAGCAATAACAACAACATCTGACGTCCTCCTTACAGGAAAGAACTGGCTTTACTGATGCTAAAATGCTGTGACATTCAACTAGTACATGCATTAAAAGGGAATTAAACATCTCAGAAACATTTCTTGGCTTACACTGTGTTTTTATTAGGACTAAAAAGCATGTAGACATGTTCTACATGACTGATGTTTTATGTGAGATATTTACAAAGCATTTCTATTAGGTCAAGTTAGCTTTTAGTCTAAACATTTATTTATTTGATGAATAAATAAATCTATAACATTGCATAGGTGACTGTCTTCTAGCCCAAAATACACATGGAGCACAATAATCAGGTCTGAAGATCAGGCTTGATCTCATTATAACAAAATCAACTCAAAACATTCCTGCCTTCTTTTTAAGGTCGTTCTGACGCCATTTAGGCAGCCGCTGGAAATTGTCTCGGGTGCAGCCGAAGAGATTCTCAAATTCTGCATCAGTCAAATATTCCTGAAATAAAGATAGTGTAGGAAAACAAATTTACCAGATAACAACCTTCAAAATATATTTTGAGCTCTGACTTTGTCAGACCAACTCAATTCTGACTTTTAGTCTCTATTTATTCTTGCAATTCTCACAATTCTGAGAAAAAAGTAATTTTTATATCACAATTCTGACTTTTATATAAACTCAACTGGGAGAAAAAGAGTCAGATTTGTGAGATCAAAAGTAAAAAAAAAAAAAAGTCTCAAAAGTCAGAATTGTGGAAAAAAATTCAGAACTGTGAGCTGTAAATTAGCTATAAATTGAGTCACAATTACCTTTTTTATTTTTTATCCCATTGCAGAATGAGACTGCCATACTAAAGGTCTCAGTACCCACCTCTCGTTTTTCAGGGTCCACTCCTTGAGGCAGCTGATTAGGTTTTTTAACTAGTTGCTCAGAATGTAGCATCCCAGAAGGCTTTGCTCTGCTGGGAGACTGGTCTACATATGCACTGGAGATGGAGGAGGACATCCTCTGATTATGGGACTTTATATTTCCCGGGCCTCCAGGAGCGCTGTAGCTCCCTCCACCTCCTCCTGTCTTCTTATTCAGGTTTGTGTTGTTGAGATTCTACAGGAAATGAGGTTGACATGTTTAGATCTGCGCACAGGTGTGTAGGTCATATAGATATCTACAAGTAATTCGATAATTTTATCAAATATGATGAATCAATTCAGGACAAACATTTGATCAGTATGGTGAAAGCTTTTTTACCACAGTGATTTGCGAAATATCACCCAGCTTGCTTTTCATCTCCTCATATGAAAGGCCTCCCTAGAATATAGAGTGAAACTGAAAAAGTGTCTCTCGGGGAACATTAAGTATTATGTGGTGTGATGGTGGACAAAATGTCAACATGAAATGGCATTCATAACCAGCTTTATATTTGAAAATTCAATGAGAAAAAAGTGAAAAATGGCCGTGGTCTCAATATGAGAGGCTGAATGTGAAATCAGTTTCCATTTGTTTAACCTCAATTTTTTTTCGTGGTAATTATTATTGAAGCTTGTTTCCACCACAGGATAAAAAAAAAAAAGGTATTGCAATATGAAAAGTCAGCATTCAAAGGGGAAAAAAGTCAGAATTGAGATAAACTCACAATTGTGAGATTTAAACTCGGAATTACGAGGAAGTATTGCAGAATTCTGATTTCATATCTCACAATTCTGACTTTACATCTCTAAATTCTGAGATATAAGTTCAGAATTGTGAGAAAAAAGTCTGAAATGTAGGATAAAACGTGCAATTACCTTTTTAAAAAAAATATATATTATTATTATATTATTGAGAAGGAATTGGCTAATTTAAACTTAATGAATAGCCTGTGTGACCAAAAGCTGCATCAGAGGCAGATTATTACATTTTCATGAAGAATAACATGATTGTAAAGCACTTTGGGTGTACAACAATACACAATAAAGCGCTATATAAATGCATCATTCATTCATTCATTCGTTCAATGAAGAATCATGCAAAATAAGATCAGGAAAATGTGTTAAGAAAGTATAAATGGTCCATTTTGCTTTCATGCTGAGGATGTATTATTAGATGAGAATCAACAAACGATTATGAGGATTGAACTTCTCAAGATTCAGTTAGTGAATTTCTGTTGTGCATTATTGCCCCCTGTTGGACAGTTTCAGCCTGTTTGACTCACGCTCCACTTATGAGCATCCCAGGCATTAAACCAGCCGGTGAAGGTGGGCGGCTCATAGCCTTGTTTAACAGTGCTGACCGGTGTCCCAGGGTCCCGTCCGGCTGGGTGGGTTTTAAGATATTCCACTGCACTGCTATAGGACTCCTGAGTCTCGTACTGGTTGGCTGAGTTGCCAATCCAAAGGAAAATCTGAAGGAGGAGGAAGAAGAGGGGTTTAGGAGATTGACATGTAAGTAAGAGCAGGAGCTTTCTAACTTTTTGATGCCACAGAGAGACCCCCAATTTGGATGACCTCTTTGCAAAGGACCTAAAATGTACTGTAAAGCCAGCTATATATTTTTATTTACAAAGACCCATTTATTTATAAAGTAACCTATCAATACATTCAAATAATTGTGCTTAATCTCCTGATTTCGCACCAGTATTTAGAATGAAACAGTAATAAATGTCTTTTTTTTTTGTTTCAAATAAATAAATGATTCTATTCTATTCTATTCTATTCTATTCTTTTTTTGCCTCAAACTCTTTTTCTCTCTTTCTAATTCATTTTCCTGGTCACCAGTTTTAAAATCCGCTGGGTTTGAGTAACTTAATACGCAAACAACCAGCAGTTTGAGTTATATGAAACAGTAATAAATGTCTTTTTTTTTGTTTCAAATAAATAAATGATTCTATTCTATTCTATTCTTTTTTTGCCTCAAACTCTTTTTCTCTCTTTCTAATTCATTTTCCTGGTCACCAGTTTTAAAATCCGCTGGGTTTGAGTAACTTAATACGCAAACAACCAGCAGTTTGAGTTATTTTTCTCTGCATATTTTGCATAATCCAGAACGACACCGCCATTTCACAGCAGCCTCATGCAAAAGAAGCCGACAGCATGACCTCATGCAACCCACCTCCTCCCAGGTGTCTAGAAGCATGACATCATCCTCATCCAGGTCATCCTGAGTGAAGTCAGCCACCTCTGTCACAAGGAATCGGCCCGTCTGATTGGAGCATTCAAACAGACGAGGTTCGTGAGGTGCCACTTCTTTCTCCAGTCTGGTGGAGACACAGAGGAAGTCAGTGGAAATGATTGACTGTCCTCCAGAGTTGAACTATGAGCTCATTTTTATCTGTTTTTATAGTTGTACCGCTTGTCACTGGCATATGGAGCTTTCCCTCCCAAAGCCACCCAGAAGGCAGCTGGTTCCTGTCCTTCCATCACAACCTGCTTGTCCTGCTCAGAAAGCAAATCAGCTACGGCTTTCCCCATCTCCCTCTCGTCTCCACTGCAGCCCTGTGAGAAACAGAAACACACACACATAGAGAGAGAGATTTAAAAAGATAAAGTATTTATTATGATTCATGAATTAATAAACTACTGGTTGAAAATATGGAATAATTACTTCTTTTTTTTTGTTTGAAAGAAGTCTCTTATGATCATTTATGCTGATTTGGTGTTCAAGAAACATTTCTTATTATTATTATCAATGTTGAAAACAGTTTTCCGACATGATGCACTACCACAGTTTCATTTATCCTTTATTATTAATAATTAAGCATATATAATAATAATAATTTAGCACCAACTCAGCATATTAGAATGATTTCCAAAGGATCATGTTACTCTGAAGACTGGAGTAATGACTGCTAAAAATTCAGCTTTGCTGTCACAGGAATAAATTACATTCTTTTAAACTGTAATAATATTTCATAATAATATCATTGCTTTTACTGTATCAAATTTGATCAAATAAATGCGGCCTTTATGATCATAAGAGACTTTGTTTTAAAAACATTTTTTGACACTTTTTGGCCAGTAGTGTATATTTATTATAACACATTTTATTTGAGTATAATTGTTACGTTTTGCTTTTTTTAAATGTTACACATTTAGGTTTTAGTGTATATTTATTCAGTTCAAACAACTGTATTTATTTATTTCAATCATTTAAATTATTAGTTATAGATTTAATTTTTATATTTAATTAATTAGTGTAAATTTATATATATTTATACTTGCCTTGCCATACCACAGGAAGACATTCTGATCAGTTTTGAGCAGAAAGACATCATTGGTGTTGAGAGAAGAGGCTCTGGTGGGCACCTCTGTTGCTTTGGTGTTCATCTCATGTGTCCCTCTGACCTGGAAGAGTCTGGCACCTGGATCACGGTTCACAACACCCGGTCTACCTGTCCCACCCTAAGAAACAATCAATATGTCAATGAAAAGCAAGAAATCATACTAATATATTCTATGGCTGAGTGTGTAAGTAAATAAATATTTGGTTACCTGAAGGTGCTAAATAAGTCAGATCATAAAATAATGTACAATTTAGAGTTCTATGTTCCATAGGAATGAAGGGACAATCACCTCAAAAATGATGAGCCCGCCCTTAAAGATGGCCAGGAAGTGTCTGGGCTCTTTTCCCATGACCACTCTGACCTGTGTTGGGGCTCCATTGTATTTGTTATCCAAATTCACCGCCTGATAAGCGCATGCCGTCACCTCATCCTGTGTAGCATGGCGACCCTGGGGAACACATTTCATGTCATAGGATCTCCAATGTGTTCATCCAGAGTATAACACTTTTCTGCTCAATACAAGTGAATTTAATCTGTGTAGAGTTCAAATGTCAGAAATGCTGCATTGGTTATTTTGTACTGTAGCTATATAATATATTTTATATACAGTGGCCCCACTTATGTCACACTTAAATGAATGCCATTATATAACAAATATTAAAGTGACATTTATTTTAAATAAATACAGCACAAAAAGTGTGGGGTCACACATTACAAGTAACACGCGTTACGTAATTAGATTACTTTTTTCATGCAAATAGTAAAGTAATGCATTACATGATTAATGCAAATATACAACAAAATTTCTGATTTACTTTTTCAAAAAGGAACGCAAGTTACTTTGATTTCCTCTCCTGTCTCCATGTTGATAGAAATTGGGAGTGAGGTGCAGAGGCTGAGGCACTTCCTTTAGCCTGAGACTTATTAATTTCACTTTTGATGTGAAAGGGCCTTTATGGTTGCCAAAAATATAACTTTTGAGTTTTTTTTGTTATTAAAAAACAAATAAGCAAGTCCAGTCCAGGTATATATATATTTCAATATATATGTGACCCTGGACCACAAAACCAGTCATAAGGGTCAATTATTCAAAATTGAGATTTATATATCATCTGAAAGCTGAATAAATAAACTTTCCATTGATGCATGGTTTGTTAGGACAGGACAATATTTGGCTGAGATACAACTATTTCAAAATCTGGAATCTGAGGGTGCAAAAAAAAATCTAAATATTGAGAAAATCGCCTTTAAAGTTGTCCAAATGAAGTTCTTAGCAATGTATATTACTAATCAAAAATTAAGTTTTGATATATTTACAAAATATCTTCATGGAACATGATCTTTACTTAATGTCCTAATGTTTTTTGGCATAAAAGAAAAATCAATCATTTTGACCCATACAATGTATTTTTGGCTATTGCTACAAATATCCCCCAGCGACTTCAGACTGGTTTTGTGGTCCAGGGTCACATATTATGTTGGAGATAAGAGTATGCATGTAAAGCTCCTCACCTGCCACATGTAGAGGATGTACTGTGGTTTGTTGGCTCTGTTGTAGGTGTACAGCACTAGATAACAGTCTCCTCCATAGAACTGTCCATATGTGCTTGGGTTCACCTCCTTCAGTTCAAGATTCTCAATGCGCCAAACCTGAACATAAAACAGAGCAGATATTTGTCTGTTATGGTGTGGTAACAATCCCAAACTTTTGAGTTCAGTATTACTATTTTATCATACCTGAATATGTCCTGAGGCATCGTCCACCATCCGCTCCTGAGCAGCCAGCTTTGGCTGAGCGTGAAGCTCCATGACGTCAAACTTCACCTGATCCACTTTAGCTGCAGTAACAGGTGAGCATACGATCACCACACTGACACAATTAAATATGACGCAAATACTAACATGACAATGCTGAAACATCCACATTCTCAGATGAGAAATAATACTGATGAATCACCTATCTTTCCGACGGAGTGGGTCTTTCCCAGTCCTTGAGTTTGACCTTTTTCTTTCCAGGACTTGAAGAGATGTTTAAACATGGCAGACTCTCCTCCTTCACTCATAACCTCCACTTTAGTGTTGGACGGGTAGTTCTTTGCTTTTATAAAGCCCTGAGGGATGAATATTTGTGTGCACCAATTATGGCACAATAGAAAAGTGATTTTAAATAAATATACTACTTTGCCGAATAATACTTTGCGAACACAGACACTTACAACCGCCCGACTCAGTGCTGAGCGCCTCTCTTCATCTGATGCTGCCTTTCCTTTCCAGACCATTACTGAGCTGCCACCTTGATCTAAAATATAGCAATCCTGCAAACAAAACATACATCAACACATAATCCACAGACCGTTGTGCATCATATAAGAATACTGTGCGTCTTTTGGTAGACATTATGTGGCTCACCGAGGAACTCAGCAAATCCTGGGTCAGTGGACTGGTAGCCACTTCCTGTACCAACAGCTGACCACTGGCATCAGACACACTGAGAATAAAAGAAGGCTAATCAAGAACATTTCATTAGATGTTAGTTCTGAATTATCAATGATCAACTTCATCATTAGAAACATCAAATAATCATGAAAGAATGATAGATAGATAGATAGATAGATAGATATATAGATAGATAGATAGTTCGATCATTTACAGTCTGGCAGCTTCATTTACTGATCCTCTTAATGTTAGCCCATAACCTGCAATATAAATATCTGCCACATGAAGTGAATTGCATTGCAAATACTCTAATGTGCTTTGACCACATTTATAATTCAACTCATATATATATATATATATATATATATATATATGTAGTATTTTTATTATCAGGAATGTCAACTAGAATAATATTATTAAATTATTAATATGAATATCGAATGTAAAAAATTAGATTTTTTTTTTAAATATTCAATTTTATATTTATATAAAGTCAATTTTAATAATTTGCTTTGGCTTCAGTTTAGTAACAACATAAAAGCCAATTCTTTACTTTTTTAAACAATGCTGATTTTATAATAACATTATACTACTATATTACAAAACTGTAATATAATAATACTACTAATATTATGAGTTTTTTCCTCACATTAAATATATACAGTAGTTGCCTTTATCACTGCCACCAATCTGCAGTTAGCAATGAAAATGAATGACGTCCGTTCGCTTTGTTGTTGCAAATAACTGTCATTGTGAACAACCATTTACTTTGAAGAAGGTGTGGCTCATGAATATTAATTAGGGCCAGTGACTCTATGCTCCTGTAATATTTGCAAGTGATTATCAACTATTTAATATTCATGAGCTGAGCCTTCACTATAGTAGAATTGTGATTTGAGGTGTCTGGTGCAGTAGTTCACCTCTCTTGCAGTCACATGTTTCGTTCCTTTGACGTGGAGCAGGCGCTGCATGCTATACATGTTGGTCTCCACATGTGTGAATCCCGATCCCACACCGCCTTTTTTATATCTACAGGAAACAGGAAAGTGTAGACATAATCAAACCGTCATGGAATTGGTAGGAGCAAGCCTAAATGTTTTTCTTTCACTCACATGAGGCCATTCTTGAAGTAGCTTTTGAATTTAGCTGATTCACATCCCTGGACCTCGCGGTGTTGAACCGGACTGCCACCGAGATACTCGTCCAGTTGGGTCACATAGATGGCTGCCGCTCCCTGCTCGTCCTGAGACGATGTGTTGCCTATCCAGTAGTGGATGTCAGTGGATTGTGTGGTGCTATTGCTCACCTGAATGACACAGGTCAAAATGCATGAAGATAGACATACCCATACATGTGCCGAAGAACATGGGTATCATAATTAATAATAATTTAATAATTAAAACATTATAGATTAATATAAATAAAAATATACAATTATAAATGATTAATTTTAATTTATTAATACATTTATAATGATATATTTTATTTATATCAATATTTCATAATGTTGAAAAATTGAAATCTATTTTTAATAATATATATATTTTTTAATAAATCAAGAAAAATCACCACAGATTATCATTGGATAAAGAGCAGCATTAAAAATTCCATAATGTTAACTTCCTTTATGTTCCAAAGGACAAATGAGTCATTTATTGTCATCTGGAGCAGTTCGGAAGTGTTCAGTTATAGTAAGTCTTTCTAAAAGCACCTGTCATTCTGCTAGATTCTGAGAAGAAATCTCAACGCTCAAACGATCTGAATTAAACACAAATCCACAGCATAATGCATCACGGCTGACAATAAAACTTCAGGTATATTGGATCACATTTTGACACTGAGAATCAAAAATTTACCTGAATTCATGCTAGTATTATAAAGTACAATATGAAGAAATTATTTTATTTTGCAGGAAAATATTGGACTATATTCAAAATGTAACACTTACTGTACGAACACATTCTACATAACATAATAAAAAGGCTAAAAATTAGCATATTAGTATGACGTGTTTCTCTACAGTGTCACATTTCAGTTTTTAATTAAATGTTATGACAGATCTTTGCAAATGTGAAATATCAGTATGAAATCTTTTGTACAAAAAAATAGATTTTTTTAAAAGGTGCTCCATCACTCATAACACTGAGTGACTGAGAACAGATGGTTTATGAAAGGATGATGAAGAGGATATGTGGAAATGTTGCTTCCTCTAGAGAATCTGTAGCACTAATAAACAGCGCCCAGTACCATGGCAACAAATGGATTTCACTTTCAAGAATCTGCTCAGTAAACACAAAAACTACTTAGCAACAGAAATGTGCATCAAAAAGCTCGTATAAAACAGGTCACTATTCACATTACAAATTATGGGGAAATATTTCACAAGTCTGGAGTCATATGATGGCCAAAACCTCTTTCAGATGTTTCATCATCTGTGTCCAGCAAACAACTTTGCTTCAGATTCCGTTCAAAAAGCAGATTCAGACAAGCTGTGAAGCTTATCGGGACAAATAGCCTGCAAATAAGTAGCCGAGTGCAAACAAACAACAACAACAACACATCAGCAACCAGTCCTCTCTCATAAAACTCAATGTTAACTGTGAAAAGAAACGCTGACCTTTCATAATCACGGAACTTTGCTTCAGATTCCGTTCAAAAGGCAGATTCAGACAAGCTGTGAAGCTTATCGGGACAAATAGCCTGCAAATAAGTAGCCGTGTGCAAACAAACAACAACAACAACACATCAGCAACCAGTCCTCTCTCATAAAACTCAATGTTAACTGTGAAAAGAAACGCTGACCTTTCATAATCACGGTGCAGTTGTTGCTAAGAAACTGGGGCGCGTGAATATTGACTGAAATATTGTGTTGAGGGTGGAGCATGAACACACAAATATCACACAGAACAATCTTAGTAGCATGTAGAAGACAGCATCCCAAATGTAAAAAAAATATAGTAGTAAAAAATCTACTAATATTCACCCTAAACAAACAGAAATATGGAATCAGAAAATGGTATTTAGTGAGAAAATAGACTAAACTAAAGCACAGCTGTATGCTGGTCATATATATATATATATATATATGATCCACTATAATTAGAAGTCTCATTAGCATTTAATTTCTCGCGTGATCGTGTTACATAAATAACATTCATCCGATTGCTCTCTGACAAACCGCTCATTAGAAAAAGCACTATCTACTGTACAAGCACTCCATATTTAATAGTTTTGTGTGCTTTCTGTCCTGAATGACTGTTTTTTTCAGTCTATTGACAAAGCTTTTTAAACAATTGCCAGCACAGGCTTTTCCATAAATCCTAATCAACGACATGGATTAGTCTCATATTTCCCAGTGTGAGTTTAAAGATGAAGGATCTTTTGATTCGTTACGACAAATTCATACATTTCTGCTCCAAATAATATTGTATCTGGAATACAACTGAGTGAAATTTCCATCAACGAGTCATTAAGCAGATTTGCTTGTATTGCAAAGAAGTAAAATATACATCAAGATCAGATGTGAATCTCATATACAATTGTATATGGGTTTTGTGGTTATAAGTAAAAGTCATAATAATAATGTAAAACTTGATTATCTAACATACCCTTCAAGGACTGTATATGAATCATGATAAGTCATAGTTTAAATACGTTTTTTTTCTTACCTGTACGCCTCACACAGAGTCAGCGTAGTAATGTATTAATGAGTTATGACAAATCTCTATGAGTGCTTTCCTCTCCCTCTGTACATTGTTAATGTGTGCTGATCAGGGAAGGGCTCGTCTCTGTCCAGCCCTACAGGTGAGAACACACCTTAATACCCACACAAGACTTTATATGGAAAAGAACAGGAGCTCCCTTTGACCTTTTACATACATAACCCTACATAAATAAACCTTTAGAAACAACAATTGAAGTCTAAAATTATACATGTTTGTCTGTTCTGTAATTCCAAAATTATCCTATAAGAAAACCAATCAATACATTTCAAAATTAGAAGAATTTTATTTATGGTTTTGCAAAAAATGCCAAACAAAAGAAAATAATATTTTATTTAGCAAAGACACATTAATTAAAAGTGACAGTAAAGACTTTTATAATGTTACAAAATTGACATTTATTTATTTATTATTATCATTAATAAAACTATTATTTATTAATAATAAATAATGTATTATTTATAAATCTATTTATAGTTTTTAACTTTCTATTCATCAAAGAATCCTGAAAAAAAAAATGTATCGTAGTTTCCACAAAAATATTAGGCAGCACAACTGTTTTCACCACTGATAATATGAAATGTTTTTTGAGCAGCAAATCAGCATATTAGAATGACTGCTGAAATTCATCTCTGCCATCACAGGAATAAATTGAATTTTAAAATATATTAAAATAGAAAACAGTTATTTAGTAAATTGTAAAGACATTTCACAATATTACTCTTTTACAGATCAAATAAATGCAGCCTTGATAAGAATAAAAGACGTCTTTAATAAACATTAATACATTTTAACAACCTCCAATTTTTGAATGGAAAGAACAAGCTTGGTTGAAACATGTTGAGACCAGAGGGACTTGAAGAACAATTCAGCCAAATTAACATTATATCACAACTTACTCTTCCTTATGTTGTTTCAAACTTGAATGACTTTCTTCCATGTGTTTTACAGAATAACCTGGTCAGTGGCCACTGTTTTCAATATAATGAAAGTTAATATAAAGTAGAGACTATCCAGAATGACAAGAGGACCATAAACGTAATTTACACAAAGATATATTCCAAGTCCCCTTAAGTTTTTCTGAATAGTCGATCATTTCAATAAATCACTATATTCTTGTGTGAATGATTCAGCTGCAGCAGTTAAAGCAGCTGTATATGCATTTTTTACCTTGAAATGTCACTTTTAAAATCATTCTGATGGACTTCAAATAAGGCAAAGGGCTTCCGCTTCTTTTCTACATACAGTTGCTTTAAAAGCTCACTGAATGGGAAGATTATCAATGAATAATGACTTACATTTTTGGTATCTATCATATGATTTAGAATATATTGCATGATATGGACTACTTTTATGAAGCTTTTTATTGAAGCTTGAAAGCACATGAAAAAAGGGACCAGGACATTATTGATATTTTCTAAATTTGTGTTTCACAGAAGAAATTATGGCATACGTGTTTGGAACAACGCGAGAGTAAATAGTAACAGAGTTCATATTTGGGTGAACTAACCTTTTACATGAAGTAGGAATCTCCTTCATTGTCACATATTCTCTCAGTTATATAAAACAAACTTGTCTAAAGTTGTTGGAGGTCAGAGAGACTCGTGCGTCTCTCTCCTGCTCTGGATTCCCCTCACATCAGCTCTGCGTCTCAGCTCTTTCACGCTCAGATCACAAGAAACGCTTCAGACGAGAAAGCCACGCAGACACTCAGGAGAGCCAGAGAGAGGAGACAGTGATTAATCTCTTCCACTCCAGCAGATGGGGAGACTGAGCGAACGAATCCCCTACGAGAGGCTCTTGGACAGATATCAGAGGCTTCCTATGGCAAACGGCCCATCAGCCGCTAACAAATAAAGATAAGTAAGCGGCAATATGGTGCTTCATTAAGGTTTAGAGGCTTCACCTTAATTGCAGGCCAGAATGCCATTCTGAGGGAGATGGAAAGAGGTGGGCGAACAAACTCTCAAAGTATTGTGTGCGCAGGAAAGCATAACATTACAAGAATAAAAGTGAAAAGGCATTTATAACAAGGAACAAAAACAACTTTTTTTCTGGAGTAATAACAGTTTTACTGATTAACAAGATATTTCTATATATCCACCTGTATGTCTATCTATCTATATACATGTCTGTTAATATATCTACTTCTATGTATACGTCTTTCCATCTGTCTGACTATACATTTCTATCTATTCTATTACTCTATCTACCTATCTATCCATCTGTCTGTCTGTCTCTCTATATATATCTATTCATCCATTCATCAGTCTACATACCTATTTATACATATACATCTAGCTCTCTACTTACCTATCTATGTCTTTCTGTCTATCCATCCATCCATCCTTCCATCTATCAGTCTACCTACCTACCTATCTATACAGTATGTCTATCTACCTTTTCTACAGTATCTATCCATCTATGTCTCTGTCTATCCTGCTATCCATTTGTCTGTCTTTCTATCGGTCTATCCATCCACCTTTAATCTATCATCTGCTGGTTAAATATCATGACAATATCAGCAGTGATTATAAATAATGCATTTAGAATTTACTTGCAATCATGTAATATATGGCTATTTTTTGTAATCAGTAAATATTTACATGATTTTTTCCTGATTTTCCACCTCTAACTACAAAATCAAAATAATTCAGTTTTGTTTTCTTTTTTTTCCTCTTCATTTCCACCCTCTCAAGGGTCTTTTGAAACAGAACTGATTAACAAGATATTTCTATATATCCACCTGTATGTCTATCTATATACATATGTCTGTTAATATATCTACTTCTATGTATACGTCTTTCCATCTGTCTGACTATACATTTCTATCTATTCTATTACTCTATCTACCTATCTATCCATCTGTCTGTCTGTCTCTCTATATATATCTATTCATCCATTCATCAGTCTACATACCTATTTATACATATACATCTAGCTCTCTACTTACCTATCTATGTCTTTCTGTCTATCCATCCATCCATCCTTCCATCTATCAGTCTACCTACCTACCTATCTATACAGTATGTCTATCTACCTTTTCTACAGTATCTATCCATCTATGTC